TCAAACTTTCAATAATTATTCTGGCATTCTCTTCACTCTTTGGTGTTATCCTTCATTTTAATGAATTTCTTCCAATTACTTTCAACTTCATTCTTACTTCATGTAACCTACACAGCGCGGATTGCTAGTACAGGGAACGGAAAAAGTCATTGGTTGATCAGGGTGTGTTTCGGGTGTTTCGTTTTAGATTTATCAAGAATGAGCACCATAACATTTCCTGGCACATCGATTTGCTCAAGAAGGAGCACTCAATGGATTTTCTTATCGTTACAGTCGAACTAAACCTGAATCTCAGAGTAACAAACGTTCTCTTTTAGTTTCGCGCAAGAGAGACTGAGGCGAATGCGTCGAAACGTACATAACTGAGTTGGAGATATTCGCCTGATGCTGCAATTTCTGCAAATGCATGGGCGACAGTCTCGTACGTGATCGGATCGTTCTAAGAATCAACAATGAAAATATGATGATAGCCTATTGCGACAACGGAACCTTTCACTACTGCGGTGCACTGATATTTGCAGCAGTGCGTCCCTCGATCACCTATCAATACTAGCAAATGAAACTCGCAACTTATGCAGAAGTGTGTACCGTTTTTGGATGCGACGCAGCGATGGCTACAAACGTGAGACAGGATATCTACCGATATTGCGCCGCGGGACACGTGAGCTCCCGCGAACAGGGTCCGGCGTGGGGTCGGATATGTGCCAAATGGGAAAAAGGGAACGATTGTGCTCGTTGCTACCGATCAGCCATTGCGAGTGCTGCCGTTCTTGTCAACTCATCCGCAGATGCAGAACATGCAATTGACAACGTGTTTCGGCGTTTACCGCAAAATCGTGTCTTCTAGTTGTTTTGATTGGAGGCAAAGCTGTACGATTCCAGTTAGACCCAGGAGCTACTGTCAATATTCTACTGAGAAAACACTTTTCCGGAGTGTGCATTCTATCTGATCAAGATTGCTTGCATATGTGGGATGTTCCGAGACTTTATCCCAAGGGCTTGTCCACGATCGAAGGGGTTATCTCAAGAGACAATGCCCCACATCTACTGGAGGTTTTGATCGCGTATAAAGCGCTCACACCAATTCTCAGCATTGATATAACTCAGTCTCTGGGTTTTGTTATTTTTAACCATGATCGTTTCGTGTATGCACGCCAGTGAGAAACCGATATTAGTGATCATTATCCATCTGTGTTTAGTCCGGGTTTGGTAAGATTTGAGGGAACCGCTCACTTATCCTTAGATCCTTGGATACGACCGACTGCGCTACCGGCTAGGATAATTCCATTGGCGCTGCATGATAGGTTCCCTGTTGAATTGAGCAAATTAGTGAGTGTGGGTGTGATTGCCAAAGCTGACGAGCCAACCAACAGTTTTAGTGCGGTCACAATTGATTACGAAGAAGACAGGTGAACTGCGCATATATATTGCCCAAAACAGTTGAATGAGACCCTGCGTAGGAAGCATTATAGGTTATCAACCCTAGGAAACATTTTGCCGCGTTTGTACAAAGCTAAGTGTTTCACGAAGGTAGACCTGTTTTCGGCATTCTGACACGTGGTTCTAGAGGACGATTATGGTGTTCTTACCACATTTGCTACACCGGTCGGGCGTTATCGTTGATTGCTTTTACTGTTTTGTTTGATGGGGTCGTGTGAAAATTTTAAAGAGTAATTGTTTCAAGCGGTAGAAGATTTAAATATTGTAACATGTTTGGCAGACAATACTTTGATCTGTGGCTCGACAGAATAAGAGCATGATGCTAATCTCCACCGTTAGTTACGGCAGTGTGTGTGCGAAAAGACATCAAGCTTAAAGGTGAGAAAATGGAACTTCGGAAAGAGGGGGTGATTTTCCATGGGCATTTGTTAACATGTCTGTGTCTAACTGGAACCGTACAGCTTTGCCTCCAATCAAAACAACTAGAAGACACGATTTTGCGGTAAACGCCGAAACACGTTGTCAATTGCATGTTCTGCATCTGCGGATGAGTTGACAAGAACGGCAGCACTCGCAATGGCTGATCGGTAGCAACGAGCACAATCGTTCCCTTTTTCCCATTTGGCACATATCCGACCCCACGCCGGACCCTGTTCGCGGGAGCTCACGTGTCCCGCGGCGCAATATCGGTAGATATCCTGTCTCACGTTTGTAGCCATCGCTGCGTCGCATCCAAAAACGGTACACACTTCTGCATAAGTTGCGAGTTTCATTTGCTGTTATTGATAGGTGGTCGAGGGATGCACTGTTGCAAATATCAGTGCATCGCTGTGGTGAAAGGTTCCGTTGTCGCAATAGGCTATCATCATATTTTCATTGTTGATTCTTAGAACGATCCGATCACGTACGAGACTGTCGCCCATGCATTTGCAGAAATTGCAGCATCAGGCGAATATCTCCAACTCAGTTATGTACGTTTCGACGCATTCACCTCAGTCTCTGTTGCGCGAAATTAAAAGTGAACGTTTTATTACTCACATTGAGACGGCCTTCGCAAATATCAATGATCTCTCAATGCCCGTCTCTTAATTATTGGGATATTCGTCTGTTTGTATTGCAGGGTCTGTATTACCCCGCTCGCGTCATCCCGGCTAAGTGCAGAGACGTGGCTAAACGATACGTCATCGGACGCTCGTGCAAACGTATAAGGTGAAGAAATACATTCACTTGTTCCTCGATAAACGACAATTACTCACCAAGTTCCGTTTAGCAGCATTTACTGGGGCAGGTGTCTGAATAAACGCTGGTTAACCAAACTGCATCCGAGCGCATCGATGGGATTCGCCTTTGTCCTCTCTGAAAGCATGTTGCAGAACTCAGTCCTTTGGGTACAGGCGTTTATTCAGCGAAGTAACGTCGGCGAAAATTACAGCATGTTTGACAACTCCAGCTCCTCGATATAAGTTGCACGTTCAAGTCCATAACTAACGACCCTTCTGAGTCGGTGAGCTTCCTCCTTTGATGCAGCTAAACAAACGTGGATCACTTACACGCATATCGGCCAATCCGAGTCTAGTAATGGAATCCGTTACGCCCACCCCTCATTAGTTGTATGGCTCGCTCGGCCGGTCCATCCGCTCAATTTGATCTGACACACCCATCACAAGTACGATGACCAAAATTGCTTGGACCGTGATTGCTGCATCATTGTCTCCAGGTGAGTTCAACCAATAGAGGGAGCACATGCTAGACACAGTTAATACGACAACCCCGTGAGAGTCCTTGGTCTCACATTCGGGTACGCAACACACGCCAGTATCCTGCGCGTCCAACCTGCAGGCGAATGCATCTCGTCGACCCATTTGCCTTAGATTGCGAACGTTGAATGTCGCATGAGAAACTGGACGGCGTTGTGTTATAAGGGACCGTCGCCGAAAATCGTTCAGTAGATGGTGCGGAAAATGTTTTACAGATGTCATATCCTCATTGCATTGCGGCTACTGGCACGTAAGCTAAGAATTATGATAGGAAGTTAAGTACTGGATGTTGGGTGAGGAGTAAGAGATACAGTTTGAGGTTTCAGCGTCAGGAATTTTTCGCTTGTCCGTCCTGCTGTATGCAGCAGACAAGGCGATTTTTGGCAGTCTGCGCACCAGTTGCTGCGGGCTGCGGTAGATGGTCGAAGAAATACAATAGGTTGCATGTACTCTGAGATACTGCCAGGGCGTTCAGACCTAGACTGAAGCACGATTACGGTCCGCAACCAAGTTATTGACTCAAGATCTTGTCCGCAGGTCAGCGAATGTGGTAACGGTTTGGTCCTAAATAAATGGTCACTATCCCATTTCTAGCCGCCAAGTTAAAGGACCAGTAGACTGAGGTTGTCTGATATCCAACCATTGACCAACCTTGTAGGAATAGCTCTCAAGGCGTCCGGGTGCACCATCCTGTTTAGCTCAATGTGTCCGTGCGGTAAGAAGAACGGCGTGCCAGTGTAAAGTACAGTCTCGATGCTACGGATGGAAGGATACAGGACTCGCACCAAAACGCTTGCACCTCCCACATCGGTCTGTTGAGGTTATGTATGTCCACCGTGGAGTGCCTGTTAGGAAGCCTTGTCTCCCACCTGCAGGGGGATTACAGCCGGGACTACACCCTCTTCTTAGCAGCGCTCTTCGAACAGGTACATTTTCAGCACGTCCCTCTTAATACTGTATTCTCAATTCTGACATGTACTGGCCAGACAAAGCCATCATCCGGCACGACACAGCTTTGGATTACTCTAAAACGTCACACATTTTACCAGAAGGCTTCACGAGTGACTTAAAATACATCTCCAAGTTCGTAATTAAGGCGTTTGTGTAGATTTTCCTGAACCCTTCTTTCCTAAAACAAATCGGTTAGGTTAGTTTTTGCCACCATACTATCGTGTACAGAGTGTTGTTCACGTATATTAAGGGCATAGTGTTCAAGGTGACAGCCATGAATCGCTAGCTACCGAGCTCCAACTCAGTTCCGGATATCCCCATCTGTTGAGTCCAGTGGAAGACGAAATAGGTTGATGGCGTGTCAGTGTTAGTAGGTGTAACAACGAAACAACCCAAGCGCGACACTATTCGATAGACAACCAGAACTAGTTAAGTGGCATACCACAACTAGTTGTCTGCCCTAATAGGACGACAGCCACTTCCTCCGTTTGATAGGTAACGACGATTACTCGTGAAAATATACCCCTACAATGACGGACTACCCAGATTACCTGTGATGGTGAAACTGAGGTTTCTGACAATGTGCTGTCCAACAGCGATTCACACGAGTGAAAATCTAATATTTCAAATTACAGCCTTTGTTCTTTTCACAGCGCCATATACCAAACAAATCGGTAACACATGAGTGGCGATTCCACAAATTAGGCAAAACCAAATCGAATGAGGAAAGCAAACATATTCGTGGGTTGACAAAATTAATGATGTGCAAGTTAAACAAACAGTCAATGCGTACACAGCAGTTCGAACCGGAAGACGATCTTCATCACGGCCAGCAATATTGTGGTGTCCACTCTAACCGAAGTGCAAAAACACGTGACCAAGTATAGGATTTTCTTTGAAATTGCGAGCCTTTCCTGTTACATAGAAATCAAGAACGAGAACGGCGTAATTTTAGAAACGATGAGGCAGCAATTCATTGCTGATGCGTGCAAACGCAACAGCGAATTGAATTAATTTGATCGAACTCACGCAGCTTTTTTATCAAATGGCTTGATCTGGACTGGCCAGCAGCATCAACCTGATGCTTTGTGCGGTTATGGCAAGCAGCTGTACTCTGTGGTTGAGTTGTCTCAAGCAGCGATGATCTGTTTCGTCTGTTATGGTAGACAGCATCTGAAACGGATTTAATATAGCAGATACATTTAACGTCTCAACTAAGCGAACCAACTAAACGTCCCATACCAACATACCTATAGTTCCGTACATTGGACCGAATACAATAGCTGTGGCGCAGAACACCAATAACATGATGGACATTGTAAGCGACAAATTGCTTAGAAACCGTTGAGAGATACACGCACACACCGATTTTCCAAATTCAATGACGGAACAGATCGCAGATCACTGGAAACAAATTCACTAGCCGCAACTGACCCACAAATCCTGCGGTAATTCAAAGTCGAAGTCGGAGCGACTAACGGTGTTCTTGAATAAAAACAAATAGCGAAATTGGAAAATAGCACCCGGATTCCTCACACACAAACTTGCAATCAAATAGTCGGTCGATACTGTAGAAGACCGATCCCCAACGATAAGCGAAGACAAGAAACGATTAAAAAATTTGTAGGGTAATAAATTACAGCTCGGTTGTCATGAAGCCAACTGTGTAAAACAACAGGGATTGGTCAGTCAAACATGTACACATAAAACAGTTGAGCTGTCTGATTGCTTGACACAAATAGACAGGCAAGAGTTTGTCGCAAGTATCCAGATCATGGGTGCATGGCCCCATTCGCTGTAAATTCTGGCTCGGGCTATCGATAATTCAGACCTGTTATGCACTGAATGCATTAGAGAACCGCGTTGGCAAGGTTATCGGTTAACCATAGGGTGATCAGAATATGCAAACTCAACTGGTTTATTGTTGTTCATGAAATGAGTGGTAAAACAGTGGACGGGGATCAGTCATATACGAAGCTAAATGAGCAATCGTAAAATAGTCAGTGTTTGGCTGATGGAGAGAGACAAGCAGATGCAGAATGCAAACAGATTGTAGAAATTGTTTTGTCCGACACAGTCGCCACCAAATCTAACTTGCATTTTCTAAGTATATTGATACATACTGTACCGGATAAACTTACCCACGCTCCATCCATTGTGGAGGGATACATCCTCATCATCTTCATCAAAGGTATCGCATCAGACACTTACACTGATTCTTCTCTACCATGCAACAATGATAACCTACGGAAGGTAGGAAAATAAAAGGGAGATAAGTGGGACATACCGAAAAACCCAAAGGCTCTGGGTTAACATTCGGGGTCAAGATGCCTACACATTGTCAACAACATACCAGCCCAAACAGCTGGCTATCATGCATATATTACTGAATACTGAATACTGTATTATAGAGAAAGTAGAAATGGAGTCGGTACAACTCTTTCGAAATATGGCGAAAACCGTTATAAAATTTGTCAACCGTGAACATCGTTGTCGTTCTCATGTAATATTTAAAATATTCGACTTACGATATTTCAGGATTCACAAATGTGATATGTCATCGTAAGTGTGCAGTCGTTCTCTGAATCAATTAGTGGCAAAATACAGATCTAACAACGTTTTGAACTGTTGCACAGATGTTGCCTCAATCACATGTTCAGGTAAACTGTTCCAAATGTTTACCACTCTCCGTTCGAAGCACAGTGGGTGGGGAACACATTTCACATCCGGCACGACAAGTTTGTATCTGTGTCTGCGTATGCTGCATGGCCCTCGTAAGCGCAGCATTGGCCTTAGCAATGGGAAGTCACCGAGATGTAGAATACGGTAGGTCATAATGAGGTCCATTCGCACCCGACGGTAGGACAAGGTGTAGAGTCCTATTTTCTCGCACCGGTCTTCACACCCAAAGCCACGTAAACTCGGGATCAGCCTGATAGCAACGTATTGGACCCATTCGAGCTTTTGTGCCTCGCCTCGGGTAATCGGAAAGTAGGCGAGCGAACCGTACTCTAGCACTGGTCTAATGATACAAGAGACCAGGCGAGCGGCAACCACTTCAGACCATGTACCGAAGCTACGTTTGAGCGCCCAAAGCATGCACAGTCCGCTACGATATAGCCTGTTCGTGTTGTCCACGGACTTCAAATCGTAGCGTGCGAGTACACCTAGGTCTTTCACGGAGGGTGTGTGATATAGCATTTGGCCGTCAAGGGTGTAGGTTCGGCCGTTAGCACCCTTCCCCAGGCTCATAAATACAGACTTGGCTGGGTTGACCGGGAGAAGAACTTCTGCGGACCATGTGGATAGGCGGTTGAGGTCTTGCTGAAGTAGGCCACAGTCATCGGGAGCGTCGATTTCTCTCCAAATCAGCATGTTGTCCGCAAACAAAGCACACGGCGACCGGTGAAGCTGCGGTAGATCGTTGATGTGGATCAGGAACAGAGTGAGCCCCAGCACAGTGTCTTGAGGCAGACCACCAGTAGAGGGGTACCAGTCAGTTAGATGGTCGTCGACCTGTACCCTCCACTTTCGTCCAACAAGAAAGTCGCGGATCCACCGGTGCAGTGAGCCACCGACAACACACATGCATTGTGAAGGAGAACCTCATGACTGATCTTGTCGAACGCTTTACAGAAATTGATGAATATCACGTCGACGGATTTCCCCTTGTTTATTGCCTTCAACCACTCATGCCTCGTCACAAGCAGGTTCGTAATGCATGAGCGACCTTGCATAAAACCGTGCTGTGCGGGCGTCAGGACCTCGTTTGACTGTAGCAACTGCAGCAATCCCTTCTTCAGGATTTTCTCAGCAACCTTTGCCAAAATAGGTGTCAGACAAATTGGCCTGTAATTGTCTACTTTGCTAGGGTCGCCGCGTTTCGGAATATGCTTCACCACCGAACATTTCCAGTCAACCAGCAACAGACCCTCGGACAGCGACCTGTTGAAAAGGTCAGTGAGCGAACATACGTAGTACGTGCCCAAGCCAAAGCGATTTGTTCAGTGTTATCTTTTGTTCTCAGGAACTAGCTTGATAATCACTGCCTGTTACTCGCCTACGCACGTCATCGCTGCGGGCACACTGGTATCACCCGACACTAACAATGCTCCGTAGACAGCGGTGATCAAAGACTTGAATGCGCCTCATATCAAATGAGCCATCTTTCAATTTCATGGAGTAGGACGGCCGTCATGGTGCTTGTATATACGGCATTTTGCATGTACTCTGAGATACTGCCAGGGCGTTCAGACCTAGACTGAAGCACGATTACGGTCCGCAACCAAGTTATTGACTCAAGATCTTGTCCGCAGGTCAGCGAATGTGGTAACGGTTTGGTCCTAAATAAATGGTCACTATCCCATTTCTAGCCGCCAAGTTAAAGGACCAGTAGACTGAGGTTGTCTGATATCCAACCATTGACCAACCTTGTAGGAATAGCTCTCAAGGCGTCCGGGTGCACCATCCTGTTTAGCTCAATGTGTCCGTGCGGTAAGAAGAACGGCGTGCCAGTGTAAAGTACAGTCTCGATGCTACGGATGGAAGGATACAGGACTCGCACCAAAACGCTTGCACCTCCCACATCGGTCTGTTGAGGTTATGTATGTCCACCGTGGAGTGGCCGTTAGGAAGCCTTGTCTCCCACCTGCAGGGGGATTACAGCCGGGACTACACCCTCTTCTTAGCAGCGCTCTTCGAACAGATACATTTTCAGCACGTCCCTCTTAATACTGTATTCTCAATCATGACATGTACTGGCCAGGCAAAGCCATCATCCGGCGCGACACAGCTTTAGATTACCCTGAGACTAATGAAATTAATATTACACTTCGCGGTAGTGCCTCAAATTCTGTTGAATTGCTCGTTTAAATCTTGAGCCAGCTTGCCAACCTAGATCCGAATAAATGCAACATGCGAACGGCTAATCGTCGTATGAAGCTCGTTGGAACTTACAAACTTTGCAAATGATTTATCTGCACAGTCCTGCGGAGCGACCGTCATAACTGCATCAACGGCACACAACAAGACAGAGCACAGTCCGAGTGAAACGTCTGTTCAGGAACGCTCAATAATGCCAAGCAACTTGACAGAAATTCATAAACCAAAAACGATTAATGGCCGGCTTAAAACATACACAAATTTGACATCTATCAACGCACTCCTAACAACAAAAGCCCTATCTTCATGTACACAAACGCCCAAGGCCTACTTAGTACGTTGGGCGAACTTAGAGAACTCCATGACTCTTCATGATGAGAGAGACCTGGTTAAATGTTATGATAACCGCTCCTGAGATCAATTTACCTGGTATGTCGCTGCTTCGGACAGATAGAACCGGAAGGGGTGGCGGTGTGCTTCTATATTATAATACAGATCTCCGATGTGAAGTTAGCGACCACCCGGAACTCCGAGCTCCTGATTCGCTTTGGTGCCGCCTGTGGTTGCGAAACAAGGATACGTCTACTAGCCGTGATTTATCGCCCACCAAACTGAACTTCGGAAATGGACTCCAAACTGAACCACCTCTTTCAGTTTGCTTTGAACAAGTGCTACACCCACTTCCTATCGCTAGAGACTTTAACCTGCACGACATAGAACACCAGCAACCGCCGGTACGCAGTGTAAAGCCTGCTTGCAAGAGCTAATTGATAGCCACCCACTGTACAACCACGTATCCTCTCCCACCAGATTTCGACCTGCTAACAAGCCATCGATACTGGATCTTGTGCTCACTAATGTAGAACTCATGGTTGACGGATAGTTACAAGCACACCACTGGATCGTAGTGATCATGTTACTCTACTTTTTGACTACATATGCTATTCGGAGTATCCTGAAAAGTAGGATTATATATTGTATACTATCACGCACTATAACGTGTTATCAACGCTTGTTGAGGATTGATCTTGGACTTTATTAACCGAATGCCTCCCAGATGTTGCCTGGGATACCTTTACAAGATCATTTAACACACTGGTAGCGCACGCATCGGAACAGAATTCTTCCAACGTAAAAAGAAACATAAGTCATTTCTGAGGAGCAGAACACGTAAATGTATGTCCCGGAGGGATTTGGCATGGCGAGTTCATCAGGACTGCTCGATTGCCCAAACCTGGACTGCACACGTAACACATCGTAACTTCCGTGTGAAACTGATCCGCGAAGAAAAGATCACGCATCAGCAAGAGTTAATGAGGCGATTCTGCACGAGCCGCAGACTTCTGTACAGGCACGTTAACGTCCTTCGAAAGGTGAAGCGGGGGATTGCAGCACTAGTCACGTCTGATGGGTGCACGTGCTCAGCA